GTGTATATATATATATATATATATATATACATGTAGATGTATATGGGCATACTTTAGCACATTTTATTCTTTTATTCTTTCTATTTCTTTTAATGTGTACTTGCACTGATCTAATCTCGTTATGCACGTGTGTAAAGACAATAAAGGCATTCTATTCTATTCTATTCTATATAGTGCAGACACTTTATTATTGCTACGAAGAATGTACATCTGAACTGCAAACCCTGTTTTTTATTGCAGCAGAATTGAACTTTGTTACAGGATTACCTGTTTTCACTGAGGCTAAGCAGCAGGGAAAGCCCCCTTTGCCTATGAACGTTTCTAATTTAACGCCTGGTCAATTTTTATTGTTTATGGTATTAAACTCATTTACAATTTTTAATTTAGGCTGTAAAAAATCTACCTCATAAATGTGGATTTCCATTAGAGTTTATGTGAGTTTTTCTCTAAACTAAAAGTCTTCCTGTACTGAGTTGTGTTATATCAATACAGATAATTGTTTAGGTTGTACTCGGGGATTGTTTGATAAATAATCATCAGATTAGGCTGTAAAAGCATCCTCTACATCTGTAAGGATGAAATGTTGATTGATTTCTGTGTTTGTTTTCCTAATTATGCCTCTTTTTTTTTTTGATCTGCTTGTTTGTCAGAACTGGAGGACTTACTGCAGGCGCTGAAATGGGTGCAGAACTGTTTGCATGATGCTCAGAGCCAGCAGGACGTGGAGCTCATAATGCAGCTCCTAGCCAAGGAGGAGTTCAGGAACGCCTACACGATCTACTCCGCTATGTCCCAGCAGATGAGCCGAGTCAGTCCCACATCGCCCCTCACATCACAAGCACAGGACCTGTGCCAGGAGGTACGCAGACTTGTTCTGTTTCATGGAGTTTATACTGCTTATGTTAATCTGTCAGAACTGTTTACCTTTTAGAGCCGACTGGCCTTAAAATACACAAAAAAAGGCTTTTAATGCAATCATTTTTACGGGTGGTGACCTACATTTTGCTCTCAGAGTAACTTTTTTGCTCGGAGCTTTAGAATCAACATGTCTGTGTTAGCAAAATATCACATGAACCACTAGACCAGGGGTCTGCAACCTGCGGCTCTGGGGCCACATGTGGCTCTTTGGTCCCTCTGCAGTGGCTCTTTGAAAATGTGAAAAAACATAAC